ATATGTTGACTCACGGCTGGAATGATTGATCCATTGCCCCAAGGTCCTCGAGGTCCAAGAGCGACAAAGTAGTTCGGGAAGCCAGGGGCAGCAATACCCAAGTACGCACTAGAGTGGCAAACAGAAATAGAGGGTCAGGAGGCCGTGCTTTGTGGTCTGGATGATCCGGTTTCCATAAACACTCACTTTGGCTCGTCCTTCCACAAATCTCTGATGTTGATGCCATGTCTGCCAATGATGTCGATAAACGGTGTAAAAGCCACGTCAAACCCTGTCGCGCAGATGATCATGTCAAATTCATGCTCCTGTCCATCCTCGGTCTTCATTCCTTTTTCGGTGAATTCTGTAATTGTGTCGAAGACGGTGGAAACGTTTTCCTTGCACAGGCTTTCAAGATATCCTTCTCCTGTCCATTGAATAAGTACTGGGTTAGCAGGAGCTCCTCTTGGCCCCCCCCAAAAGGAAAACGAGACATGGGGACTAATCTCACCTGGAGTATATCTCCGACATCCACTTGGGAAATCCGGGATCATCTTTCTCTGAAGCTCGTCAAAGCCCTCGAGTTTAGCAGTCATGGCGGCGCGGATGTATTCTTCAGTCTGCTTCTGTACAGAAGTTCCCACCCGAAAGTTGTCGACATTGTTACAGATCAAGAGTTCCATCTTGCGACGCAGGTGTAGGAGGAGTTCTGGGTGTTCTTCGAAATTCTTCTTGTCTGCTTCGGTGAATTCAAATGGCCGTGCGCCTCGGAGCAGAATCTGGTTGACCGAGGTGTCACCTTCGTGGACAGGATCCGCATCCAGGGAGACCAGGCCTCCAAGCTGAGGAGCTATCCACGTCGGAGAGCGGACAAAGATGGTAAGATGTTCGGCACCTGGACACAAGGCCAAAGAGTCAAAAACAAGAAAGAAGGTTTGGAAACTTTTCGAAAAGCTGGGAGGATGCGGCTGGCCATGAGCAGTTTCGCAGAGGCTGGAGAGCCGTACCTTGCTGCACCTTTGGCGTGATCTGGATTGCCGAACTGCCAGTACCAATGATGGCAACCTTTTTCCCTTTCCAATCCGCGCTCGTGTCCCAAGCCGCCGAATGCAAGATGGTGCCGGTATACTTTTCTCGTCCGGGAATGTCAGGCCCTAGATTGTTTGTTAGAGATAGTTCCTGTGCACCGAGAGGTCGGGCATCACCAACATCTCCACCGATTCAAGATGCCGGTAGCATTGATGAACACATGGCACCAGTCCTTGTGGGTTTCGCCATTCGCACGTGTAATATCCAGGGACCAAGTGCCATTTTCTTCACTGTAGACAGCCTTTGTGACCTTGGACTCGTACTCAATAAACTTGTCCAGCCCAAATTCGTCCTTGAAATCTGTAATGGAGGAGTTCAGCGCGGCGGACCCAACTGCAGCTGTTGAATGACAGATTTGAGCCTACCTTTGAAATACGCAAGCAGCTCTGCCGAGCCGGCGTAGTAACTGCTAAAGCGAGGGTTCTGTAGTGGTCGTCAGCCCAAGGAATAAGAAGCACGGTATGCTCTAGTGCTCGGGGCTGCAGACGAACCGGTCGGAAAGTGTAGGTGTAGTTGTGCGAGGGCACATCACAGGCACAACCTGGATAATTGTCTGTTTGGGGCAAATCAATCAATCAGTATTTCACTTTGCTCACCTACCTCCTCCAAGGAACGCCGGAGTCTTTCTTACTCTCAAACCAAGTCCCACCACACTGGGGATTTTTCTCATAGACTCGAAGTTCAAAATTTCTCATGACCTTCTGCATGCGATATGCCAGGTAAAGACCCGTCACCCCGGCGCCCGCACATACCACCCGAATCTTTGCGCGTTGGGAGTGATATTGATCAAGAACCGTATACTTTTCCCGCACCACCGTCGGCGACATGATGGGTCTCCTTTCCTCGAAAAACCCCTTTGTTAGGACTCGGTTGCCTGTGCGAGTCTTGTCTCGCTGTTGAGGGCGAGGTAAACGGCCTTACTTTTTAACAATGATGTACTTCCACGAACCGACGATTTTAATAAACTTTGATGCCTCGGTGAAAGGAAAGGGGTGGGGGTGGGCGGTGCACTAAACAAACACCAAAACCTTGGGAATGAATATTTTGTTCCCGCTCCCATTTTCCCGCATAGCTACCCCAGAAGCTGATGAGACTTGTAGGTGGTGTGTCGAATATGTAAAAGTACAGTAAGAGGCGTTGTAGGATGCCCAAGGGTCATAGTATGGAGTGGGGTCCAAACAGCGTCTGGCTGGTAAGGACAAACACGGTCTCAGCCGATGCATAAGGTGACTCGACCACATGGCTCTCATTCAGTATACAAATATTTCCCAGTAGTTCTCGACTCTTTTCGATTCTGTTGAGGTTCCGATCATCCTTTTGGGGTTTTTTTTCCTTCTCCCCAAACCTTGCCAGTCCAAAGAATTAAGTAATGCTTCGACAGATGGTGGACTTTACTAGACTCTTACCAGAAACTGTCACGGCACAAGAGAATGATAAGCCAAGAATCAAGGTCATATTATTATAATAGTTGTGTATTCTTAATGTCCCCGTCGAGCACAGAGACTTGGAAACACACGCGATCGAAAGTGATATTAAAGCATCATTGACCTTGGCGAGGCGCGGTCGTCGAATATCCAGAAAGGAAAAAGCCATATGCGTTCCATCTCATTTTCTTCTCCTCCACAGCTCACCCACTGAAAATTGTTGGGGCATGAGATCCTATTCAAATGTTGATGTAGAAGCGAATCCACTCATGCACTGTCGCTCCCGTGTACGTCTCTTGACCTTCGAAGCCTCCTGTGATGTTTCCGCTCCAGCGAGTATACCCACCAGAGATCAAAGGTGGCTTCCACGCAACTGCATAGTTTTCCACATCAACCACAAAGTTTCCTTCGTCGGTGGCGTATTCGATGTGGAATCCACTTGGATCTCCTTGGAGCGGAGCAGGAGGATATTCCGAGTTGTCTCCCGTCGGGCGAACCGTGATACCGCTACATCCCGCCGAGATTATGGTACCATCTTTGCTCAGGTAGCCGCTAAAGTATTCCTGACCGTCGATGGCGATCGCGTCGAACCAGACAAGAGAGTATGGACCGACGTGGCCGTGGCCCCAGTACCAGCTTGTAACCGTGGATGGAAGACGCCTTGCACCCCAATTCTGCGATAAAAATAAGCAATGCCGCCCGAAACTGGCGGATTCATTCCGGGTCTTACCTTGTCATGATAGCCTGGGCCATTAAAAGACATTTTTGTACCTGCGAGGTCAAGGTCGACGGTCCCTACGGCATCAGGAATGGCGTTGGCCCATCCGATATTAGGGAACAGCTCTTCTGTTTGTCCAGCCTCGTTAGGGCCGCAAGGAAAGTGTGCTGGCGCAACCTGGTCACAGTGTGAGTAGTTAAGATACGATGCAACTGGATGATACGGTGATAGTTACCGATTGGAGTGAGATGGTCCCACTGACACCAAGCAACGGGACATCGATGTTGACTTTGTATGACGAGAGGTCGGCCGCTCCAGTCCACGACACACCACTTCCTTCCCAGTTGGCCGATGATCCATCCCCGTTGACAGTCACGGTTGCGTCGCCGGCCGGGAAGATCTCCTGATAAATATTCCCGTCCTCTTGGAGCACGGTGAGAATGCCATAGTTCGACGTGCCCAGAGTGAAAGGAAAGCCAAGAGTCAGACTGTCACCGGTTACCAAGAGAATGGTGGCCTCCGTCTGCAGATCTTCCGAGACAACGTCAAAGTACCACCAGTCAAAGGTGGTGGCGTTGACCTTGGAAAGCTTGGGGCCGTCCAAGCTCGACCCGCTCGACGTGAATTCCACAATAGAGTCGCCCAGTTGAACAAGTGGTGGGATCACCGTCGTCTCTTGGGCATGAGAAGAGAGGGCATGAAAGATGCTGAGCAGGAGAAGAAACAACATGTTGAAACGAATGTACAACCGAACAGCCTTCGGTCTGGGAATGGAGATTGCTAATAGTTGGTGAGAGAAGTGTTGTTGCAAAGACAGCATCTCGAGCATATGTATATGCGCGAAATTTCCGGGAGTCGATCTTGCAAAACACAATGCGGGGGCGGGCACGGCAGTACCTCTCGGCCTACGGATATTCGCCAAATGAACAAAGTAGACTGAATAACGATTCTTCATTCATGCAAATTTGCTTCTTGAAGGCCCCTTGTACCCAGTCTCTCGCACTATGTAGGGTGAAATTAGCTGTGGGGAATTGTACCTGCAGTAGTACATCCATCGTTTGGAGTACATTTGGGGAATGCGTCGGGACAGCATTAAGCCCGACAGCAAGTTCGCTTAATACTTAGTAGGAACTACGAGGTACTGCTAGTACATAAATTCAACTCTGAGTTTGTTCCTGCCAGGCACATGAATAACGGAGGGCATACCTCGGCCTTGTTCATGTCGATGTGATACCCCCTTGGATGTCTTTAAAACTAACCTTATTGGTAGGCTCTGACATAGGTCGGGTGGGGTCGGGTGGGGTCTACCTGGGTTCCAGGCCGTGACCGGTCTAGTCGACCCTAGCGGACCTACAACCAGCGGGGATCAGAACATGCATGAAAACCGCGAAAGAAGTTGCTTAAGCACAAGAGGAGTCAAGGCCATTGATAGAAAAAGGTCTTTGGTATTGTGAATATCTTTGAGGTGTGTAAATGCGCTAAAAATACATGGCGTGAGAAAGGGACAACTGTAGGTTTCATATTTTGCGCAATCAACAAGGTAGACATATGCGGATGCTCACTGTGGCCTCGTCTATGCCAATCTATCAAGCTATACGGTATACGCATGTGTTGGCCACCTTTTGAGGACACTGAGACCAGGTTGGCAGTAAAAGCCTCAAACCACCAGAGAGCTCTCTCGGCTGAGGCGGTCATCAGCATCAGCGGTCGTATTCCTGGCTTATGCCGGTCCTCTTGGTTTTCGACATCACTGAGTCGGTCGCTCTTCTGATAAGGCACGGCTTGGTCTCTTAGGCCAGATGGACAGAGATGCGGTTAGTCATGTATTTCGACGTGTCCGGCAGAAAGAGGCAGGCGATGATGGACAAGACTCCAAATGGAATGCTGGTATACCACACATACTTCAGCGACTCGGCGTACGCCCATTTGACCCCCAAGGTGGCAGCTTGGATGACGACATTTGTGACGCCAGAAACCGTGGTAACAGCGGCTGGATTGGTGAGGAAAGTTTCGACAAACAGGGGTGCTGAAGTCAACGGCAACCCGGCTTTGACCGCGTATTCTGCAACGAGCGTGGGTAGTTTGCTCTTCAGTTTGCTTGCAAAGATGTTGTAGTAAATCGAATAGCCGATGGCACCGCCGCCCAGTCTCACAGAGAGTGACAGTGCCACGGTCGTCGCGATGACGGTGTCAGGAGTGGCCGTAAGAGCTACAGTCGCGGTTGGAACCAAGACACCTCCAATGCCAAAGGAAGCCAAGCTCAATAGCGCAGTGACGAGCTTGGGGTTGGTGGAATTGTTCACGGCTAAAGCGCCAGTAAAAGAGGCTGCATTCAAGTTAGTGAACCACCCGTCTGAATCGGAAAGGGGTGGGAGACTTGCTCATGATCAGAATGAAGAAGAGGAGAACTTCTCGATGGTGCCGGCGGAACCTTGCGACTGCCACGTTGCCTGCCATGGACCCGACGCCGATGCAGCACCCATAGCCCAATCCCTTGAGTCCAACCTGGACCGGGTCAGGGTCGTAGACTTGGGACATTAAGATGGGAAAGAAGTTCAGAATCGAATAAAAGTTGAGCCCCGAGACGAAGCCGATGCAGTAAGCCAGGGCGACGATCCGTTGACCCGAGAACATTTCCCTAGGGACGATGGGTGCTCGGGCAAATTTGGCTTCCCAAACGACGAAGAAAATGATTAGGAGTGCGCCCAGCAGAAGAGTGACCAGAACATAAGCACTCTTCCAAGGATGGGTATATCCTCCGGACTGAATGGCCACCAGACTGTGTTGGTCGTTTGGTCAGTTCCTCGTGTGCCATGGATTTTTGACTCGCAAACCTCCCAACAATGACGGGGATATGGAGGACAAGGGATTATCAGTCACTCACAACAGTGTCAGACCGACGATAGAGCTGACAGAACCAAGATAGTCGAAACTCCTGAGGAGAGTTCTACGAGAAACCCCTTCGGCACGGTTGTGGTTGTGCGGGAAGTAGACCAAGGCCAATCCGACTGTAGCAAGCCCAACCCAAATACTAATCATCGACCGAGATGTGAGATACGTAGACCAGCGAAAGAGATCAGAGTAGGGAGCTTACCAAGAGATCCACATACACCATCTCCAGGTGGAGTAGGTGGCAAGCAATTGCGCATACATAATGTAAGGCCAAAAGGGGATGATTGCGGCTTGAAGAAGGGCGAGATAGAGGCCGCGTTTCGCCACGGGGACAATCTCCGATACCCTAGAGCACGTTAGTACATAGTGTCATTCTGTTGGACCCATCGTCCGAGTTGTCACTCTACGAGAGCTCACCCTGCAATGGAGGTCAGCTCCAAGATGCCTGCGCCCGCGCCTTCGATGGACATCCCGGCGGCGGCCTGGCTCAAGCCATGGCTGGTCCCCATGACCACGGATCCCGCCAGGACCAACAGGCAACCAGCCAGCACCACGTTCCGCTTGCCAAAGAGATCTTGGAGATAGCCACAGAAGGGAGCCACTGCCGCCACTGCCAGGTTATTGGAGACGCCCAGCCAGGCTGCGCCGTCGATTATGTTCAGGTCTGCCGCTATCAAGCTCAATGACCCTCCCACAAAGTAGAGGGGGAGCTGTGCGCCTAATACCATCGTACCGAGAGACGTCAGCCATTTGATTCAGACCACAGAGAGCTCTTGATATACCCCCCAACTCACCCCCCGAGGTGGGGAACGGGTGAGTTGATGTGTTCCTGGCAGAACCAAAGGAGCACTCACCGACATAAAGGGCACAGAGACAGATAACCGAGAGCTTCCCTCTCCAGGACCATTCGATGACGCCGTCAGAATTGTCTGCTTTATAAGCATGTTTGTTCGTGATGTCAATGTGTTCCAGCTCCGTGGCGTCGCCCTGGGCCTCTGCATGCTCCGACGTGGGAGCGCTGGTCTTCTCGCTGGTAGGGGCCTTTTCATCGGCGGCAACAGCAGCCTCGTCGCTCAGGTACGTCATTCTGGCGGCAGCAAGCAGGGATACTCGTGACTTGAAGTATGGCAATTGAGCTGGCTTGGGTTTCGAACCAACAAGATCACAAGAGGGGAGTGGCAAAGTGGTCTGAGACATGGGGAGACTGTCCCATACATATATTACTACAGTCTATATCATTTCCTTTGGCGCCCTTTTCGGGCCCTGACCACCAGGAAATATTCTCGAAAAGACTAAACGCGGTTGTTGTTCCTAGCTGGGCAATAACCTAACCCCAATGCGGAGGGCTTGTCTGGGGTTAGCGGGTGATGTGGGTTGGGGGCGGGGGCGGGCGATGCGCTTGGAAAGTCCCTCCGCCGATGCATATCCGAGGTATTCCTCTGAGAGAGCATGTTGAACAACGGCGTGAAATTCTCGGGGAGCCCATTCGAAAATTCGATTTCCAATGCCTGTGACAGAGCCCGAGGCCGAAAAGTGCCGAGCCATTCGCTCATTGTGAGAATGTGCTGCACCCAAGGGATTGAATTGGTATGTACAGGGGAAAAAGGAGGTCTCTGGGGGAGAGTGAAAGTGCTAGCTTAGGGGGGCAGGTCTGTGGTAGTCACGCATCAGGGCATTGATGCTACACAAATAAGCCGATGGTCTCTCCAGACGCGAGATGTCTTGATGCAAGCAGTCCGTCCGCAAAAGTCTTTTCTTTAAACTGTTTGGGAAATTCTTTTGCCTAGTTTTAAGATAACCAATCCTCCCCCCATGGCAGCTGGCTGGCCGAAGCAAAACCAACCATACCTTTTGCCAGCCATCAGCCGGTCAGCCAGATGGGTTCGTCACTGCCGGGAGCACAAGATCCTCGGTCATATCCCAGCGCAACCCCCTTGGCTCCATGACTGCTCTCGAAGCTGACGATCGTCCTCCAGTCCAAGTGTGAGGCCTCCTCGTCAGGAAACCCCCACCGCATTTTGCTCGTCGTGAACCTCGCCGGGTCCCAGAGTTTTCCAGGCCCGACACCCAGGCTTTTCTTTGATTCCTCCTTCACCTGAGCCAGCAAACTGGGCAGCTCTGTGTCGTGGCGTGCTTGAAACCGAGGGTTCAACGAGCGAAGCTTGCCACAGGTCTCCTGGTCATGAATGCCCAATTTCATCAACCACAGGTTGTACTGCGTCAAAGAAATATCGACATTGTATGACCCACCGACGCGGTGGCGTTTCCAGAGCGCTTGACAGATGGCCATCGCCCCGATCAGTCCGGTCCTATATTCGTGTCAGAACCTTGAATCTCATCTAACCAGATGCCGGGACGTGGGTTATCGGATGGACGTACTGATAGTCAGAGTTTGGCAGGAGAGGGATGATGGGCTCTTTCAAACCCAGAAACTCGCCTTGCACCCAGGTGACACCCGATACCTGGACGTGAATTAGCAAATTGTCTGCTCAGAAACTCCGAGAGTGGTGTTGGCTCACTGCATCGGCTATCTGCTGCCAGCCAGATCGATGAGACCACTCTCCTTTCCAGCCGTAACAGTTCTCCCGGACGTGTACGATGCCTTTGTTTCGCCTTTTGGCAATTTCTTGGAGCTCCCTGCGCCCGAAACCCAACCTTTCGAGAGCACCGGGCCGATACGCATCGACCAACACGTCAGCCTCTTCCACGAGCCTCTTCAACTTCTCCTTCTCCTCTGGGTTTTTGAGATGGAGCCTGGTATCGCGCTTGCCGATCTGGGTGTCGTAGAGGAGGACGGTGTCTGGGAGTTTGTCGCTGGATATCCGTAGCACTTCGGCCCCCAAGAGCGCCAACACACTCGAAATGGTCGGACCCGCCACCACGCGGCTCAAGTCTAGGACGCGAACACCGGCCAATGGACGTCGCCGATCATCATCGACAATCACCCAGGGGACCGGAGGAAGCTCCGGGGAGACCAAGTTCACCGTGTAAAGTGGCTCTTGGGAGATGACCTTTCCGTGGGACGTCTCTTGAAACTCCTCTGGAGTGTAGCAGATGGTCCCAGCGGAACACCAATACTCGTTGCTCTCGATATCCAGCCATGTGCTATCGTGTTGGGCCACAGCGTCACGATAGATCTGTCGCACGCGATCGTAGTTTTCTCTTCCCTCGAGGTCAGGCCGATGTTGTGGGAGGCCCAGCATATGAAGGATCGGCGTGGTGTTCAGACTGCCGTGAAGGTGATAAAACTTGCCGTCCCGGGCTCGGTAGCTTAAAGTGGGAGAGAGAGAGAAGCACGTCAGCTATCATGTTGTCTCGCAAAGGGGGGCCCATGACTCACATATTGGTCGCCGGCCCTCGATAAGTTTCTCGGATTTTCCCCAAGTCCATCGACAGACAGCGGTTGACCAAATGAGGGTCTGCAATCGTCTTTCCTTGCGATTTGAACAGAAACGACGACATGAGGAAGAGTGTCGCCGAGTAGACGTCTATCGTCACGCTCTGGGGTGGCAGTTCATAACGGTGCGAAGAAATCTGGCCCGCAAAGAGCCCGATCGCTGCCCACAGTGCGGCAGACGACTCTGCCATCCTCAGAGACGTGGGCAGAAAGGTACAAGCATCCTTGGGAACAAAAGTAACCTGCTTTGCACCTTGGACCACTTCCTCTGGCAGGTCAAGCTCTTTGATTGTTATCAAATGGTCCAGTAAGACTTGGGCGGCGCCCTTGCAAAGGCTCCCTTTTAGGTCTTCCATTCTCCCGGTGCTGTCTTTTTGCTTCGGTGATCTCGAAAATGAAACGAGGACAGCGATCTATCGCTAATATTCAACAGCAGTTTGTATAGCGATCTTGTAGTCCGGTTACAAAGGCGGTGCAAGCATCTTGAAGGTTGACTTACCGTCCATTCACACAAGAACTCATACCGGCTTGCCGCCTCGGAGGCTCAGTTGGATACTAGAACCGAGGCAGGGGGGCTGCCCACCCCCTCTGTTATCGAAAGCAAACTAAGTCATGGTGGAGATGATCGATCCGTCAGGCCGGTCGGGACAAGTGTGACAAACCTCCATGAGCAACATGCAATACATGGTTGAACTCGGTGCGGCGCAGCAGAGAGCGCTTCCCTCCTTCTCTCCTCATTTTGAGACTGCACACTGACACAAATGAAATAACGGTCGTCGGAATGACACAAGTCCGTGAGCGGGACTTAACGTGAGGTGAACCAATAATAGTATGAGGTCCAGTCATTCGATGTCTATAGAAAAGATCTGGAAATAGTCTCAGGCGAGATGGTTTGCTGACGTATCACGACCATCGACATAGATGCTAAATGGTTCCCCGGGACATAAATCTCTTGGGTAGAGGCACGTGTCTAGCTCGTAAAAACTCGGCCACATTCTTGCCCAAGATATCATACGTGCTGGTACTGTTGATACCTCTGTCCAGGTGACCATGCAGGAGGAAGTGTACCGCCCGGATCCCGGGAATTTCAAAGCGGTCGATCTTGTTACCAGGGCTGTGTTCAATGCCGAGCAGTTCTTTGATCTTATCCACCGTCAAAAGAGTACGAAGCCAGTCGTATTCGTCGTCATTCCGGACCCAAAATCCGACATTAGCATCGCTGCCTTTGTCCCCCGACCGAGCATGGACGATGAGACCCAAGGGAGCCGCGACCGTCTCTCCAAAACTGGCGAGCTCGACAGGGTGGGAGAACTCATAGCTATCTTGCTGTGCAGGGTAGACTTGGGTGACAACAGGATGTGGGACATCGTAGGAGTTTGTTGCCACGTGGGCTTTGTGTTGTACCATTCGTTGCGGCATCAGCGCCACGCAATATTCATTATACGGCTGTGGGATTCCAGCAGTGATTGCCTGGCAGCAATGCGTCAGTCCGGATGCTCCAACATGGTCAAACAGAGAGACAAATCCATGAACAAAACAGTGGCTTACCGGCTGCATGGTCGCCCCAGGATATCTAGAAACAAAATCAGCGCTTCAAATCGAGGAAGAAAGAAACCACGAGGTGGTGCTTACGAGCACATGATGACATTCAGAACAGGTTCGATCCAATTCTTGTAGCCAAGGTCTTCCTGAGATTCTGCCTGGACAAAAACGCGAAAGTCCACAGTGGCATCGTTTTGCGATGCTGGATTTGCTGGGCAAACGCCGTGCGTGGTAAAGTTGATGAGAGAAAACTTGGATATGGCCGACTCTCCTAGACTAGATTTGATATTCTTCTCAAGTAAATTGGCTTTTTCGGCGATATCAAGGCCGACGAGAGACCAGTGAAGCTCGGCTTTATAGCGTGTCTTGCTTGTGAAGCCTACCTTGGTCGTCGGAGGCGGTGGAAGGCCCACGACTCCTTTGATCTGAACCCTGTTTGGGCCAACAGTGTCGAGCGAAATACTGTCCAACCGTGCAGTAACGTCGGAATGATAGTATCTGCAAGCTTGTCAGCTTCACACACACTCACCATTTTGCCAGCAACAAGAAAAAGATTACGGCCTACAATGGTCCCTGAATTTCATAGAGCAGCTGTGCTGTCACTGTGTCCGCATTGACCACGCCACCTGAACTCGCCATCTTGGTGATGACAACTTCGCCGCTGCCTGAGATTTCGACGATGGGAAAGCCCAAGTCGTCAATTCCTGGTACGGTTTTGAATCCGGAAAAGTTGCCACCCGTGACATATGTCGAACACTCGATCAAGTGACCGGCGACGAAGGCGTTGGCCAGCTGCTCGTATTGCTCAGGCCTCCACCGGTGCCACCACATGGTGGCGCCGATTGCTGGGCTCGCATCGGCAACTCGACCACAGATGACAATGTCCGCACCTTCTTCCAAGGCTTTTACGATGCCCCGGGCACCCAGATAGGCCTGAGCAAAGACGGTCTCGTTTGGAATCGCTTCCATCCGTTCTCCCGTCGTCAGGTTGATCAGATCGGTCTGACCTATAGACGCGGCCTCTCGAAGAGAACCAAGGACATCGTCGCCCGATATCCACGCCGTCTTCAAGCCAAGCCCCTGACCTTGGACTACCTCACCAAGTCGTTGGCAAAGAACATCGGGCTCTGCAGCACCCGCATTGACC